CATTATCTGAGCAAGAACTAGTTGATTGTGATACAAGTGGTGAAGATCAAGGCTGTAATGGTGGTCTTATGGACCAGGCCTTCAAATTCATTATTGAAAACAAGGGCCTAACCACTGAATCTAATTACCCGTATGAAGCAACTGATGGAACATGTAGCACTTCAAAAGAATCATCCCATGCTGCTAAGATCACTGGATACGAAGATGTGCCTGCCAACAGCGAGTCAGCATTGTTGAACGCTGTGGCCATGCAACCGATTTCTGTAGCGATAGATGCTAGTGGATCAGATTTCYAGTCTTACTCAAGYGGGGTTTTCACTGGAGAATGTGGAACCCAACTAGACCATGGTGTTACAGCAGTTGGATATGGAACGACCCCTGAAGGCACCAAGTATTGGTTAGTGAAGAACTCGTRGGGAACAAGTTGGGGAGAAGACGGTTATATCAGAATGCAAAGAGATGTGGATGCTGATGAAGGACTCTGCGGTATTGCGATGATGGCCTCATATCCAACTTCTTAAGATACGAGGGGACTTGCCTAATCAGAATGTGCAGTCCATACATATGAAGTTAATTCTGCTTGTGCATATGAAATTAAATCTGCTCGTGTATATGATTTGACCGCATGGTTGTTGTATGCTTCTTACTACATCATTGGTTTTCTAGATCTCGCGTAAAACTTGTAGCTTGTTTATGGAATGCAAAATATCATCTCACTACAAATCTGAGCACTGTCACTGATGGACAGAGTCATCGGTGATCCATTAGTGAAAGTCGCTCTGTCAAKCTTTCATTCTTAGGCCGTAGCMTTTTCCTCTTTTCCACCAATTCAATATTACACGTCTGAACCTAGTATATTTTGCAATATCTTCAGCCAAMTGATACGTTGAAAACAAATAATACATTCAGAAATATTGGCCAAGTTAGGAGTGTCAAATCCTTACACGTACTACATCAACTTKAGTGGAGTCGGGATGCATGATGTCATATGTTCAACTCCTTTCTCAGCAACTGTTGCATTAGGAAGATCAGTCGTAAGTCAAATTAGAAACATCGAAATTATTTGCAAGACTAGTTTTACAAAATGTCATATGTTGATATCCCATGAATTAGAGCATGTAAATGGAATGAGCACCTACCAAATATCTATTCTCATGTAAATGGTAAACACATGCATAGTTTGGAAATTAAATCCAATCAGCTTAAAACACTTCTCAATCGTATTACAAGTGACACCACAATGTTTACAAACCATGTTTGGATTTCTCATATCCTTTTTTATCGTCCAAAGTCTTTGCAACAAAAGCACAACGTAGTGTATCTTCTATTTACAGAAGTAGAAGAAGAAATTCTCCTATAACACTCTTCCCTGAAATTTTTATCAAAGAAACAGTTTTAACATTTGGAAAAGGATCCARAATCAAATTAGTACTTCTAATTGGGAGATAAACATCATCAAATCCTATTAAAAACTGCATAAGCTTTATCAACAGGAGCACCACTTTGACTTGATGAATTCAGTTAGTAATACAAATTAAGAGACATTGAATTTACCCATATA